TCCGTTGTAATGTTCATCTGAAAAATATTTTTTAATATATTGATTTGAAGAGGCTTGCTCAGAACGCAAAAAAGTCACTTTTTTCAGTGCCTTTTTTAACTATATATCTGGGGGGGGCAATTGCCCCCCCCCAGGGAAAGAATCCCCCCCCCCTAGTAAAGCCATTTCTGCCCCCGAAGTGCGAAGTAGAATTGCTCATGATTGCTGTCAGAATTGCAGTTGATTTACTTGATAATGAGATTATGCCCTTCCATAGCCTCCTCCACAGCCATCTTGTCTGTAATTCATATTGTTCTTCACCGAGTATTTCATAATAGCGATAGATTTCATGCAAACAATCCGATAAAATGCTAGCCTTTCCAAGCCTTGCGACTATTTCCTAGCACTCTCCTCCGCAGAGGCGTTGTGTTTTGTTTTGGGAGGTTTTATTGCAAAATTTGTTTCTTAAAAATATCAAGTTATATTAAGAGCCCCCCACCCCACCCCAATCACCACAAAAACCATTCTGTCAGAAAGCCTAAATCCGTAGAGAATTTTTCTTTTTTTTGGGGGGGGGGGGTACACGTTACATGCTCGAAGCTGAAACTGATTAAGTACGTTTCGACTGAGGAAAAAGACGATATACTTGATTTTTGAAATCTCGTTAAAGCAGTTGTAGATATGGTTCCAAGAAAAATAGATTTAGTTTAGATTTTTAACTGTTAAATCCATGTATGCATCATCATAGCATGAATATTTCTTCTCAGACTTATTCTGTATCGTATGAAAAAGCAACGCAAATTTGAGAATGGGTAAATGGTATCTCATAGAACCTAAAATGATTTAAATGCAACATTTCTGATCAAAATCAGATTGGGATCCCCCCCCCCCTCCAAGCATCACAAAGAGGAAATAAGGTGACACTGACCCCTCCTCCTATTTTTCAAGGTGGCATTTGCAATTTATTTAATTGCGAGTAGAAATGTCTGGAAAAATTCATGTCTTCGATGTACTTTTTAATCTTCGGAATTCTGCTAGATTTCACCCCCAAAATGCATGAAATCGCAATTCAGGGACCCTAGATTTCAAAATTTTCCGGAACCCCGGACCCTCCTAGACGGTCTCACGCCTTCGGCATGAGGTTCGCCCCCCCGCCCCCGCAAAATTAAGGTTTGGTTACGCCACTGGTTATATTTTTTGTTCTGCCTTTTTTTCCTGATTTGCCCCCCTCCCCCAGTGAAAATTCCTTAAAAAGGCACTGTTAGAGTATATCCGCGTCCAGCAAGTTGAGACCTTGAGAAAGCTTGGCAGTCAAGCCGTGCACAGAACTGACTAATTAAATCTTTGTTTGCTGTTCGGTTAAATAGAGAAACGAACTCTTAATTATATAAAAGTAGCTTGAATTTTTAAGTATAATTAAAAAGCAAAATGCACACTCTGCGGACATGTTCATGAGAATATAAGTTTTTTGTGTAACGAAATCTACAACATGCACTTGTCAATCTGAAAATAACATGTGCATGGGCGTCCCACGGTTTAGACAGGTTTTGTGTCAGGCCCTATTTAAAATTCAGCATGAGCTCCACCTTTGAATTTACTATATGAGTAAATTCTTAAAAACATCCGAATTTATCATTATGATAAATTCGCGGCAAATTTTGAATTTATCATAATAATAAATTCGCGGCACCTAACACTAACCCTAACCCCATCCCTAACTACTAACCCCTAACCCCTAATCCCTAACCCCTAACCACTAACCCCTAACTTTTTAAACTTTCTCAATGTTTTAACTTTTTTAAAAATCTAACTTTTTAAACTTTTCTTGCTTTTCAAAACCCTTTTAAAAGTTTTTAAAACTTTTTTAAAAACTATTTTTTTTAAAAACTTGAAAAACTTCAAAATGTGCCGCGAATTTATCATAATGATAAATTCGGACGTGTTTAAGAATTTACTCATATAGTAAATTCAAAGGTGGAGCTCATGTTGTTAAAATTAGGGCCTGAACTTCATGTTAGGACCTTATAAGCCAGCGTGTTAAATTTAGTCAAACTTAACGCTTATAATTAATCGTTATAATTAGTCGTTCACATTGTTGAGAAGCTTTCGACTATTGTGATTGTGTTCACAACAATAGAGAAGACACAATGTCTTTCTTATCGTTTGCGTTTGCTGAATGTTAATGAGATGTATATAATATTTTCTACGAATACAGTCAAGAATTGCTTGCATGTTGCTTCTAAAGTCAAAAATGAAAAATCGAACATCGTCAATCGATGTGGAATATTGCTCCGCAGTGGCGTGCTGGCAGGGGGGGCCGGGGGGCCACGGCCCCCCCAGCTGGCAATTCTTGCAGGGCGCAAAAATGAAAAGGGGGAGCCGATCCCGCGCCGAGTTTTGAAAGTGGGTTGGAAAAAACGCATTCGAAAAAATATATTTACTTCCTCCGAGAAAAGATGTGTTTATAGGCTTATAAAATAGACTATAAGCGCATAGGCGACAAAGTGATATATTAAATTATGACAGACTATTTTGTCCAACCGTATTTGCTAATTTGCTACCCGTCACGACTCACACGAAATCGTTCATATAGAAACATGAACTGTGATCACACGCAATGTCTCATCACCGGAATATTGGTCAGGTTTCGAAGCGATCACGGGAATTATGCCCTTTTTTGCTGGTATTATGCCCTTTATTATGCTTCACGAATCACAAGAGCGGCGCAAATTACATATGCTTAAAATGCATATGCGTGGGGTCCGTGTGTTATTGTATAAAAGAGCTGTATGTTGTAATTGTATTCAGATCACTGGATCAGTAGAGAATAGAATTGGGATTAGATTAATCGCTGGAAGTTGTTAGCATTGCATAATATAAGTTATACTACTACTAAGTTCAAACCAAATTGCAAATTTCGACACGTTATAATGCCGTTTCCTGACCATCAGATTTCTGTCAAATCTTCCCCCAAAGTCCAGGAAATGGCATTTCAGAGACTCTAAATTCAAAATTTTTCCTGGGGGCATGCCCCCGGACCCCCCTAGACAAACCTCGCACCTGCGGCGCTCGGCTCGTGCCTTCGGCCCTCGTTTATCAAGCGAAACATTATAGGGGCGCATATTTGTTGACAGCCCACTGGCCCCCCCAGAAAAATAGTACCCAGCACGCCACTGTTGCTCCGGAATAATTATGTCAAGTTTCATTCCTATCGGACAAGTAATGACGGAGCCTTAGGGTTTTCTCAAAGAGCGTTGCCCCCAACGACGACGATGACGACGAAGACAACGACAACAGCAGCAGCAGCAGCAGCGGCAGCAACACCAAAAACAAGATTAGCAACGATTGGGAACCAGTTCGTGGTCTAAATATTACTACTACACATGCAACGCGATATCTTACTTACAGGACTGTCTCGCTAACCGCACCCGTCCGGCTTCAATATAAACAACTTAGTAAACGTCAGTTAAATTTATGAATTGTTTAAAACATCAACACACGTATACTGTTTTAAACACGGTCAGTTGAAACTTGGAAGTTGAAAAGATAAGTTGGAATTTCCAGCACAATTTTGGAGTTTGTAGTCGCCAGGAGAAGAGAAGATTAACAAAATAGACACTGCAAATTATTATCAAGTATTTATAAAGGTATAAGCAAACACGTACAAACTAATACATATTTTTAGCTAGAGGTGTGATTTGTAGTTAACTTCTGGTTAACCATACTGACTAGCTAAAAAAGCTATATCTAATTGTGAAAAGTATCGTGTAGAAGGACAACAAAAACTAATAACGTATATCTACACGAATACCATCATATTTGCTTATAACTGTCAACAACATGTTCTTATTAATAATCTAGCGAGAGCTAAGTTAACTGGATTGGTTGTAGCCAATATATTGATAGAACTCGTTTAAGTTTTCACTGAAAATGTATTTAAAATAATGGTTCACAAAAAATAGTCATAAAAATATAAATTTTAAATGTTCGTTTCCAATAATCGCCCGATCAAAATCCTTGATAAACAACGACAGTAAAATCCCAAGAACCCGGTCAAACCGGTTTTTCCACGAAGACATTTCCGTGCGTGACGACTGCTACGCGAACCTCTCGCGCTATTTAAGCGCCTTCTAAACAGTGACATTAGTTCCATAGAGATTATATAAATAACACTAGAGGAGGCATCGAGGTTAAAATTTGGGAACGCAGCTAATGGGGGGGGGGGGGCAAATTTAGGTCCCGTATATAAAATCATGCTCTCATTTAGGTCCCGGATATAAAATCATGATCTCACCGATATATGATAATTGGTTCCAAGAAAAGGCTTAGTCGAGTGACTGCCGATCCTGCTATTAGTGTAGGTAACTTAGAAATTAAGAGAGTTGAAACGACAAAATCATTGGGCCTAAAGATATAGACGAGTCTCTAGACTGGACCGCGCAGGTCGAACACATTTCAAAAAAAGTCACCTCAGGCCTTGCTATTCTCAGACGACTTCGGGATTCAGTCGAATTCAACACCTTAATAACAATATACCAATCCATAATTCAACCTAATTGAAACTCCTCACTAATGGAAACACGAATATACATATCCGGGACTTGAATTTACCTCCCAATAGCCGCATTCCCTTTTTTGCCTGATGTCAAGATTGCGATGCCTCCTCTAGTGTTACATATAATCTCTATGATTAGTTCATTTGTTTGTTCTTTGGATTGCAAAAATATATTCTAGACGGTCGAGGTATATAGTATAAATTAATGAGGTTTAAAGTAAGCAAAGCTACGACGTAACAGTAATTAGATGATAGCAGTACGATGGTATTCAGCTTATGACGAAACTAAAAGACGTTTGCAAGATCCAGCGAAGGGAGCAGCTGATCATGACATGAATATATCAAGCAGTGTATACAAATGTACATGCCTAATCAACTCTGACTGATAAATATAATGAATTATCAAGGAGTCCAGCTGATTTATATCCTAACACTACCGTAGATCAAAAATTGTAATGAAAATTTAGGCAATTAATTAATAGAGAAACTAAAAGAACGCAAAATTGACGATATTGCATTAAAACTTCTGCAAAATAATTTACGCAATCTGCTTGCATGACAAATAATAAAAACTGTTACTAATCCTAACTTAGCCTGGAAGGTTTGACAATCCAATTTTAATGTTATGCTAGGAAGACATACAAGGCAATCCTCTGTTCCATGCCTAAATTCGAACAAGAAACAGATGATGCACAATCGTGATCATCATAACAATATCGGTTAACACGTCTCTGGACGTCATCGAAGACTTGTAATGAATTGATCAAGCCTACAGGAATGGATCCATAGGGCGAGAAAACAGATTTGCACTAGGCTTTGCAACCCGGTGCAAAGGTGCCATTGCCGTAATCGCATCAAATTTGCAAGGTTGCTAATATTTTGGTAAATTTAGAAACCAAATTATGGACGAAAATACCCACAAATTCACTTGTGCAAATGAAAGGTAATTTGAGCCAAATTTATCCTATACCCATTCCCTCTCAAAAAAGAGAATTGTATTTACCAATATGAGGGTAAAAATTTATTTACCAATTTGCTTTCCAAATTTGAACAAAATTTGCACAATAGCAAATTTGATGCGATTACGGCAATGGCACCTTTGCAGGGGGTTGCAAAGTTGGAGCAAATCTATTTTTTCGTCCTGTGGGAGAGTCAATAAATTATAGTGAAATGCGGAAAAGTGAGCAAATAATAATTCATGATACTCTTAAACTCTGCTCAGCCCAAAGACTCATTAAACTTTATGTTTTCATCTTACGGGGGTACAGAATACGCTTGAAGAGACTGGATGCCCTACAGATCATATTTCCCTGATACTGGCCCTGCCAAAATGGTATAGCACCCCTCTGACATATACCTAAACCAGGGGTGACAATCCACTTGGACAGTATACCTATACAATTCGACCTCATAAGATTATGTTTACATTGAATAACTTGAATCTATGAGGCGTTGACCATTGCGGCTTCTGCCACGCTTAAGTGGGAGGGTTCAATTAGAGAGAAATCGTAATTATATAGTCAAGTTATTCATTTAGCTAAAACGTAGTGAGTTATAAGGACATAGCGAATTGTAATACAAATTTCCACGACAATACTTCAATAGTATGGTTTTGAGGGCAATTTGGAAAAATATGCAAGTGTGAGTTTGTCAAAGACGATCAAATCTGCACGAGTCCGATTAAGGACGAGTGAAATTTGAAATCTTTGAAAAACTCGCGAGAAACCACACTATACTACCTTTACTAGCATAGTACTCTTTGTGAAGAGAAAATAAGCAAGGTTAAGGAGAGTGGCCATGCAGTAAACTTGTTCGTCTATTAATAATATTACTCTATTGTGATACAGTCCTAAGAAAGAAATACTATGCAAGCGCGAAAACAAAACACATTTTGATTTAAGTTTTGACTTCTGGCACATAAAAATTACTTGCATTACGATGTTGAGCTATTCAAAATGAGTGAGTAAATTATTTATTTCGCATGTGTTTCATGCATGCAAGTGACCATGAATTTGCTTCTGCATAATTTATTCATGTATATCATTAGTAAGTAATAGTATGATTTCCCCTCCAATTGGAAAAACAAATACTCGTATACGCGGGTTTCTGGAAGAATTCAAATTGCACTCATCCTTCGGACTCGTCCAATTTTGATCATCATTTAAAAACTCACTAGTGCATGCTTTTCCAAATTGCACTCGAAGCCATAACACTGCTACCTATACAAATTGATCAAATAAACACGCAAGTTACTTTGACAACGGAATCGGTTTGTATTTGTATATTGTCTGCACGAGGTCATGCGTTAAGTCAATTATTATAATAGTATATCGGTTCTGTTTAATTTGTAGTTTTTTCATCTGTTGCAAATTTAGCCATACATATTATAGAAATAACTATATAACACATTGAGAGTATTTAAAAGTCTGACTATGAGGTCATTATACGAAAAACTGAAGAGTACATGCAGCACTCTAGCTGACCCTGTTAGAATTTGTCTGACTATAGTATGGTATTCTTATCTATTCTTAGGATCACGTTTTACAGTGATGTTGTCAAACAATACTGGTGATGTTCACCGTACAAATCAAATAGAGACGAGTACATGGACGGAGAGTGATCATATGAAACTTATTGCATTTCTTCATCAGACCATATTAGCAGAAAAAATTATATTAATATTTTTCGCCATATTTACCATTTTGGGGAACACTTTGGTTTTGGTGGCAACGTGGAGAGAAAGAAGTCTACATGAACCAACTAAGTATTTTATTGCTTGTCTGGCTGTCGCTGATCTTTTGGTTGGTGTAATTTTAGAACCATTGAAGGTATATCAAAGCAGTATCGATGTTGAATCGCGACGTACCATGTCTAATCACCTGTGTCGTTTCATAGCTTGGATAGATACCTTTCTGTTATCAGCATCTATTTATACACTGACATTCATCAGTTTTGACCGATATCTCAAGGTGAGGAAGCCACTTCAATATAGATCCAGAATGACAACTTCCAAATCATTGAAAATTATCTTTGTCATTTGGTTGATTTCAACTGCCTTTGCTACGTACGCCGCCGCTCCTCATTCAGGAAGCATGGGCATCTTGTTTACAAGCATGACAAATTGCAACCTTCACGATGAGAATAGAAAAGTATTCTATACTTTCGTAGCAGTAAGTGCATTTTTTCTACCCACCGTAGTTATACTGGTTATGTACACTCTCATTTTTGTTGTTGTTCATGAACGACAAAAAATGCTGCGAAATGGGGAACTGGGTCAAACCTGCAATGATCAGAACCAACGAAGGGCCTTTCTTCAAGATCTGAAGACTATTCGTATTTTATTGGTTGTCGTTGGAGTGTTTATACTTTGTTGGGGTCCTCACTTTATTTTTCAGATGCTGGTGAACTACTATTCAAATTTTGTAGATTTGGACAACCGCTCATTGAGTTATTGGTATTTGGTATTTACAGGTGGAACACTAGTAGTGCTACTCCCACTGTTTAACTGTTTATGTAACCCAATAATTTATGCCTGTCTGGACCGAACGTACAGAGAGGCCTTCAAAAATCTGTTTCAGCGAATAATGTGCCGACCAAGCTCAAGAACCCAATCACTGCCAAGTGGAATAGAATTACCTCCACTAAGAACTAGATAAGGAAACATTTTATTAATTAATGTGGGTATACTAGATCGAGCGCTTAATCTGTAGTGTATACAGGGTGTATAAAAAAACTGAACAGATTTGAAATTGCTCTCAATTTCACAAAACAGCTCGTGGTATCAAGTTTTTGTTATACCTGTATATTGATTCCTTGAGTACCCACAATGTAGAGTAATGAAAAAAATAGTCAAACTCAAATTGTGTAAACCAGGGGGGTGTTTCGTTTCCAATAAACTAAGTGCAAGTGAGTATTTTGAGTTAATGGATGGAACATTTGTTAGGTTTTTAATTACAGTAAACTAAATCAAATTGTCTGAAATTTTGTACGCAGTATTACTGCGTACAAAATTTCAGACAATTTGATTTAGTTTAGGTCCTTTAACTATAAATTTTTTCCTAAAAAATCGGCCTTTCGCATGCTTAATTAATGCCATTACCTAATGTGCATATGGCTGACTTATTTTTTAGGGAAAAATGTAAATTTGCGTGAATAGTTAAAGGGCTTAAACTGAAGCAAATTGTCTGCAATTTCGTGCAGCAATATGATTGAAGTTTTTAAATCTCGTGCGCAAATCATTTTTAATTTGTTGGAAAATACACCTCCCCCTGGTTTACAAAATTTCAGTTCGAGAAATTTTTTTCACTATTCTACATTAGAAATAGGCCTACCCATGCATATAGAAGTTATACATATCAAAAATTGGATACTTATAATAACTGTTTTTCAAATTTAGGAGCAATATATTAATTTCAGATCTGATCAGTTTTTTTTATACACCATGTATAGATCCTTAAACTCTATATGAGAAAGAAAACGATCAACAACCCCACACTGCATGGCGCGAACTATACTTCCTTCTAGGCAATTACCTAAATAAGATAAAGTCTTGTGGTGCAACAGTTAATTGGATGTAACCTTAATATGAACAGCAGATATAAATCATAGAAAATAAGAGACCACGTTGAATTTTGAGAAACATTTTCTAACTTTACGGCTTAATTACAAAGGTGCATAAATTCCGTGTTTACTTGAGTTATAGTTAAACTACAGCTCTTTGAAAATCAGCAACTGATCCTATTAGTCTACAAGCCGCACAAAGCTGACGAGCTCGATTAAAAGCGCAAGGGCGCTTTCATGCACTCACATGCATAAACCAAAATCAGTCTTTGCACAAACAGAGAATGTGGCTACCATGGCATCGCAAATAATGCAGACTGACGTGTATTATACTTCAAAAAACCACTATATCAGCTGCTTTGTGTATGCATGCAGAGTGGAAGCTCATGGGTAACATGTTTAAAAGCAACTGTTTAACAACTCATAAGTTTTGCTCTAAAATATACCCGTTTGCTCTGCCCAAAGATGCATTAAGATATGAGGTATACCTTGTCGTATACGTTGTATATACTGCGTTATATACTGTTGCGGAGTAGAAACCCCTGCATGCAGTGGGTATGAACATTTTTAACACTTTAACAGATCATATAAGCTATGAAATGCAAAGCGTATCACGAACGAAGATCACAAAGAGTTAAGAGGGCACGGCCCATTGAAATGCTCCAAACAAACTATATTGTATGATCTTTAACATAACATATATGGGCCTTCCTCCGTGTCAGCCATGTTGAAATAAAAGCGAGGCTAATACGCACGAGCAGCATAAGAGCTAGCGGAGCCAATCAAGCTGCATTCTTCGTTCCGTAATTTGCCTCGTTTTTCATTCACGAACATGGCTGACACGTGAGAAAAGCCTACTGTTGATTTGTATATAAAATCAATTATTAACGCATGCATATAGATCGACACGTGCATGAGAAAACTAGCATTGTTAGGACTTGTTTTGAAATATCTATACCACAATGTCCGAGTTAGGGACTTCTGGTCTTGCGTGTCTATATAGTATACGTCTTAGATATATGTATATATATATACATTGATTACCCCTGAGGTGCATACAACCATAAGCATATTATGTTAAGATACTTGATTAGTATCTTCTTGTAATTCTAGATCTTATGAATATGAAATGTCAATAGTGTAATTTAGTCAACACTAGCTGTATGCATAGTCTCAGTTATTAGGCAACTGGTAATTTGCCCGTGTTAAGCCGCGCCGAGCTTAAAAACCATTATATATATATATATATATATATATATATATATATATATATATATATATATATATATATATCGTTTATTGTTGTAACTGATCTGTTATATCAAATTAAGAAAGATAAAAAGTACACTGAATTTTCGGTCGCTGACTGCGACCTTTCGCACCCGACCCCGTCGCAGTTAGCGACCGAAAATTCAGTATACTTTTTATCTTTTTTAATTGTACATAATAGATCAGTTACAACAATAAACGAAAACATGTCTCTTACTGAGCCAACACAGCCAGCATATATATATATATATATATATATATATATATATATATATATATATATATATATATATATATATATATATATATATATATATATATATATATATATATATATATATATATATATATATATATATATATATATAGGCGAATGTCAATAAGTATATTGAGTGTCGAATCATAAGAATAGAGTGCTCGATACAAAAGTAGAGCAAATAAAAGACAAGCTTGAGTTACTTCGTTTAAAACATTTATTCACAACAAATTTTTGTTTCGTATGGCAAGCTAGCTTGCCAACGTTTGGCAACTAGCTTGCCATACGAAACAAATTTGTCGTGAATAAATGTTTTAAACGAAGTAACTCAAGTTTGTCTTTTATATATATATATATATATATATATATATATATATATATATATATATATATATATATATATATATATATATATATATATATATATATATACGTATACCTACTGAGCTACACGGTCAGACGGATTTAAGACTGGAAAATATGAAATTATTATTATTATTATTATATATAATGGTCTATAATAAAAGGTCTATAGTATATAGTCAGGGTCTACGCATCAAGAAGTTTTGCTCAAGAGAGGAAGACGCTGATAAACATTTGCAGGAATTGTCGGGTTGGCTGCAAAATAGAGCCTACCCAATGTGGCTTATTAGGAAAGAATTTGAGAGGTTGCAATCTTGTGATAAAGCATCTAACAAAAAAAGAAAAATAGGAGTACCTTTGACAATTACGTTTCATCCTCTGTTAAAGGACTTTGGTCTTATAATCCGTAAATATATACATATATTATACTTAGATCCAGAAGCTCAGAAAGTGTTTTCGCCCGGACCATTTGTGGCATTTAAAACTGGCCGCAACTTAAAAAGTTATTTAGTTAGGGCTAAAGTACCGCCGTTAGTGAGGGAAAAGGAGTGTAAGAAATGTAAGAAAGCACGATGTTTAACGTGCAATAATATTCGAGAAACCGACAGCTTTGAGTGTTCAACAGATGGTAAACAGTACAAAGTGAACCATAGGTTGAATTGCGACTCGAAATGTGTGGTTTATCTTCTTACTTGTAAAGTCTGTAAAAAACAATATGTTGGCGAAACAACAGATAAATTTAGGTACCGTTGGAATAATTATAAAGCCTGCCACAAAAAGGCAGTTAATAACGAGGCTTATACACAAATGTTTTTCCATCAACATTTCTTGGGTAATGGACATAATGGATTGATTAGTGATTGCGAGATTGTTTTAATTGATAAAACTGACCCAGCGGAACCGACCAGACGTGAGGCATTTTGGATAAGTAAACTAAAGACAATGCATCCTTCGGGATTGAACATAGAGAATGCGTAGCAATGTTAATTATAGTTAACAGGATATTGTTATTTGTATGGTAAATCACTTATATTCATATTATGTATAATTAGCAAAATTGGGAGGGTATAAATTGGGTTCGCCTGTAAAGTAAGATTATATTTGATGAAGACAATAAAGTCGAAACGTTACGTTATGTGTTGATTAATTTATATACCTTTATGGCTTTTCGCCTAGTGATTAATCTATATATATATATATATATATATATATATATATATATATATATATATATATATATATATATATATATATATATATATATATATATATATATATATATATATATATATATATATATATATATATATATATACATAAACCTAGCTGAAACATTGTATATAAATAAAAATCATTGCATAATAAACGTAGTGAATTTCGTCATGTTCAACATTATTCGTTCTTTATGCAGGATTTTGGATATCTCACTCTGCATAACTAACTGTCGAGGGGATTTTGTAGCTGGAAATTTTCGAATGGAATTTAATTGGGAAAAATGCAACTATATCGGCCTCTGCCAGGAATCGATGCTGCGACCCTGCGATACCGGTTCAGGACTCTAACCAACTGAGCTACAAAGAGACGGTTGCAGAACTCTAACCACAAGTTTATCTCTTCAACAATTAGGGATATCAAGTGAGATTCCCAATATCGTGAAATTTACCCATATACACCTTACAGGACATTGGCAATAAAAATTTAGTTTAGTTCATTCGAAAGAACTCTTAAAACTATATATTAGACTCTATTACAGATTGTTTATATTTTGCTTAGTTTTCAAAATATTACGACTTGAAAAAGTGAGCTGTTCGCCATCTTGGATTATTGAGGATATGCATGTTACGTCAAGAGAAGGGTCACGCTAATTTTTTATCTCGAGAGTAAGCGATCAATATGGGTCCAAAAGTTCGTTTCTGGTTGCTGTCTGAAATTTAGGAATGACTAAAAACATTTCAAACAATTTTGGATTGGTACTCGGTCATTTTAGAGTAGTTTTATATTGTTAACTCCCGACGTCATCAAAACCATAGTTAATGAGGTCAAGAACTCGTCCAAGATGGCGCACAGCTCATTAATTTCGGTCTAAATATTTCGAAAACTAAGCAAGATACGACAAATTGGTAAGATAGTTTAATATATCATTTCAACAGTTCTTTTGAATAAGACAAACTAATTTTATATTGCCAATGTCCTTTAATTGGCAATATTTGTGCATAAACCGTGGTTAGAGCTCGAGTAGCTTGGGTAGGGCAGGAATCGCAGAGCCGGAAGCTCGATTCCCGCCAGAGGGCCGCGATAGTTGCATTTCATGCAACTGCTCTTGGTTAGGTGTAATAAATGTATGAAAATTCTTTTACTATAAACTAGCTAGATGTAGCTGTTTTCATGAGTCAATGTACCAATTGAATGAAAGAACGAATGAAAAGAATGAATGAATGAATGAATGAATGAATGAATGAACGAATGAATGAATGAATGAATGAATGAAAGAAAAGTACAGCGGAATTTTTATGGCACTTATTTTCACTAAGGGCAAAAGTTATCCAGGTATGCGAGAAATATGGGCAAAAGTTATCCAGGTATGCGAGAAAACATTTCGACAAGTTTACCAGCGAGATCTCGCCTTGTTATGAAAATAAATATGAAAAGTTACATGTACTGCGTTCATATGAGACGAAAAGATTTCCCGTGCAACGAGATCTTGCTTGTTGACATGCGAGATCTCGATGATCGACCGGGATAATATTTTTCCCATGTGAAGACAAAATACCCACAACTTTCCCACTTAGCGAGAAAACGTTCCGTCGTGTAAGCAACTTTTCTGGTTTTAAAATGCATTTAAAGTTTTTTTTTACTTTTCCCGCCTTGCGTGTCACACCAGTGCTATATGTCACAGCCGGAAACTTTACCCAGTAAGCGGGATAACGTTTCTCCATAAGACCGGAACAAAATTATTTGGCTAGTCGAAATGTTTTCTCGCTAACCAGGATAACATTTCCCCATATGAACAGACCCTAAATCACTTCATCTAAAATTTGGCTAGCTTATTATTATTATTATATTATTATAAGCATTTATTTCAACACGATTAAATTCGCAGCATAGCTGATGTGGTCGTGCACTTACATAGTTATGTGCCTAACCCACCCTGTCAACTTTTCCTGTGGGAGGAAACACGGAGTACCCGGAGAAAACCCACGACTTTCGGCAGAGCGTTGACTTTACTCTTTTCACATTTGGACTGGGTTCCAGTCACAATGAGAAGTCCATAACGCGCTGGAGAATTGGATTTTACAGCGGCTATGATCTTGGACACGAATGCGTCCATGAAAAACGATTGTTACTTGATAATAATGTGGGCAGCGGAAATAACGTGACAGCTACGGGATATTGAGAATTATCCGGGACTTGTTGACGAATCACAAACGAGAATAACATTTGAATGTCTAATAATATCACTTATTATATGCAAGGGGTATAATGTTTAAAATTTATTAAAAAACCACATATTTAGAACAGGAAAGCCCACACAGAAAAAATTAAATATCTACCGGTATAGAAGTGGGCAAGAACGCAGTTTTGGCTGGATTTCGTATTTAGAGCGAGATTCGAAGAGAACTTCAGTAGCATTATGTAGTGTTTATTTACCTGGATGACTAATTAATAGAGTTTAAAATTAAACATTTTAAAAATGCCTCGTAGCTCTATTGATGCATTGTACGACATTTCTTGTTGATTATTCAAAATTTGAAATCGTTAACTCAGTTGGTTAGAGCGCTCCATTGGAATCGTAGTGCCGCAGGTTCGATTCGTGCCAGACTACGTATATATAGTTGCATTTTTCGCAGTTGTTTCTGGTTAAGTCTACTAAATGCATATGAAATTTACACTCGCCAATTTCCATCTACTTAACAATTAGACAACGAGGCCGAGTTGTTTATGAGCGAATAGTCAACGAGGCGAAGCCGAGTTGACTATTTTCTCATAGACAACGAGGCCGAGTTGTCTAATTGTTTTAGTATAAACTTTAACATTAATTTACAACTAGGCTGCAAACACAATACAAAAATACACAAAAACAAAACATTATAAAACCATTAAAGGTAAACAAATATTTTAGTTCTTGCTCGCGTAAAATGTTTTACAAAATTCAGTTTTAATTTTAAAATTTCATTGAGTGTATGTTATTTTGTCTATTTTCTTACCATTAAAAATTGCCATTCCATATTTTTGTTGCTTTTTGGGGTTTTTTAGTACAGAATTGTTCAACAAGTCGTCCAAAAAAATCATCAGCCACTTCGGCAAAAGTGCAAAACGCGAATTTTCCGCCATTTTGAATTTTCTATTAGTAGGCTATCACTAATAGCCTACTAGTAGCGTAGCCAATCAGAATCCACGATATGTGATAGCCTACTAGTAGGTTTATACTAAATACTCTTAGCTTGAACCCTTCAACTTGTACATAATTACTATAGAGTTGGATTTCTATTGAGACGTGTCGGATCAGGTTAGTATTATGCCGGTATAATACTGACTTGTCGATACATGCATGGATTAGGGGAATAACAACAAAACGTCCGCCAAACTAACATGACTTATAGATCTAGACTATATTTTAGAATTATTTTCCCATGATATATACAGATATATGTATATATATAAACATATAGAAAAAACATAGTCTCAATAAAATATTGAAATGAGCAGTGGCGGAAATTCACTTTTTCTGTTGGGGGGCAAAGCCTCCTTTCAAATTTCCGACAAATCCCCGAATTTGCACTCAAAAAGGCTGTTTTTAGCCCTCTTTCAGGTCAAAATTTCCGAAAATTCTTCATTCTCCGTGAAGGTGGGGGCGGTCGCCCCTCCCCCCCCCCCGACCCACTAAGATTTCCGCCACTGGAAATTAGAATACAAGTGATGCTGCGTACCTGATTGAGTATGTGTGTCTTCAGCATTCATTCTTTGGCTTGCTTTAATCGTATATACCATGCCATCAATATATTTTACCAATGCATGCATCAATCTATAGACAAGAAATTACACTTAGAAAGCTTCAAACAATTCTCTCCTTTGTATATGCAATCACATGGGTGATTGTTCAGACTTGAATAACTATCGCCCGACATCGATTATTCTTGTGGTAGCAAAAGTATTTAAAAGGGTAGTCCACGATCAGACTTGCATTTTTAAATGAAAACAATCTATAATCTTGTCACCATGCAAATGAGGGTTCCGATTCCTTCATTCTACGGTCACTGCTTTACTTGAGGCAACTGATGACTGGGCGTATAATATTGATCGCGGTAATATTAACGTTGTTGTTTTTTTAGACCTCAAGAAAGCGTTCGATACTGTTGACCATGAAATTCTGTTATCTAAGTTAAACACATACGGCATTGAGGGCATGGAAAAAATTGGTTTAAATCGTATTTGAATAGCCGAAATCAAAAATGTTTTGTGAATGGTTGCCTTTCACAAAATCGTTTCCTATCATGTGGAATCCCACAGGGTACAATTCTAGGGCCTTTATTATTTATTCTTTACATTAATGATTTACCTAACTGCCTTTCTTATACACAACCTCGTATGTACGCTGATGACACAAATTTATCTTTTGCTATATAGTGAAAGCATTGATGTCATTGAACATAATATGAATCATGATCTCGCTAACGTTAAGGAATGGCTCATTGCTAATATAAGCTCACTCTTAACAAATCGAAATCCGAATTTATGTTAATAATTGGTTCTAGACAGAGATTAAGAACTTTTTACAAATCTCCATCTTTAGTTATTGATGGTGCCTCATTAAAACGGGTTTCAAATTGTAAATCTCTGGGTGTTACTATTGATGAACCTTACCTGGAGCGAACATATCGATCGACTGTGTAAAAAGATTGCCAGCGGCATTGGAGCAATAAAACGAACCAGATCATTTTCCCCCCACAGGACTCTGCAATTGATATTCAACTCGCTTCTGCAGCCACATTCTGACTATTGCAGCAGCGTGTGGAGAAATTGTGGTAAAACGCTCGCTACTAAGCTTCAAAAATTGCAAAACCGTGCCGCCCGGGTTTTGACTTTTTCTGGCTATGACACCAGTGCTGACAATTTATTCAAAGACCTTGGCTGGAAAAAATCTTGAATTACAACGTCAAATTGGTGAAGCTGTAATGGTTTACAAGTCTCTAAATGGACTTGCTCCAGATTATTTAAGTTCGAGATTATCTAAGCTCCAGATTATCTAAGTTCAATCATGTCAACCATAATATGTCACGTGAAAAAGCTTTATACCTGATGAAACACTCCTAATTAGTATTCTTTATATAAATAATACTAATAAGGCAGTATCTATTGTAGTCGTGTCCTCATTAATATTTTTTATATAAAGAATACTAATAAGACAGTATATCTATTGAATTTGTAGTCGTGTTTGAAGGCGTTTAATAAACTCGCAGGACGTGTTTTAAGCAAATTTATACAACAATATATAAATTAAAGTTAATGAGACCACACGTTTGTCACCTTCAAACCGCATGGTTATAATCTCATACTGACAGGAAAAGCTTGTCAACAGCCACAAAAAGGCGATATCCAATAGTCCAAAGTTCAAATGATTCCGCGGGCAGGTGTAAACCGAATGAAGGATCAACTGACCAATCATATGTTAACAACGAACACGCAGAATAAAAGTCAACGTGATAAGGGAGTTCAGTTTGACAAATATCCAAACAAAGTGCAATATGTCTTGTTACCGAGAAAGAAAATTTGAAAATTTGACTTGGTGTGGAGCTGTAAACAATTACGGACATCGCAGGAACGGAGGAAATGTGACAGAAAAGAGTTTAAAAACGCTGGAATTGACATATCATGGATATAAAGAAAATTTGATCAGCAACTCAGCTAGAACAGTATGATAATTCAGTGAGACGCAGTTTATTCGAATAGGACTCTACCGTACAAGCGCTTTTACTCTTTTGGTGGACAAAGGAATACGTTGGCTCAAGTCCCGATGAAGTTATTACCATTAAATGAAACTGCCGCTAGGGGAATAATAACAAGATCGATAGGCTAAACACGAGACCAACAAGCGTCAGTTGATGTCGTTTCATGTCTCAAAGCACATGCTCAAGTAAAGCGGTATATTTCGGCGCGTAAAGGCGGACTTCCGGTCCTCGCACGAAGCTCCTCGCAGCTCGCTGCGAGTGATGCATGAGCACTTTCATCCATTCACAATGCTAAACAGTTAATTTTAATTAGATGCAAGCACTCGCAGCGAGTTGCGATTGTTTCGTATTCCGCCTCTCAAACCAACCAAAATGTATTAAATTCGTCTAATTTATAACAACATTCTGGTGTATTATTTGTCGATCTAAAATTCCAATGACAATTTTATTACCACCTTAAGATTAGGCGCAGATTAGGCTTCACGCCTCAGATGGGTTTCAGTCAGGCCGTAAGGCCTTTATGTATTCAATCGTTCAAATGTAGCCTGTATGTATTCAAAAGTTCAAAAATCGTTTAACTGTTTTCAATCGTTCAAATGTAGAATTATAAAACTTTTTTTTAGCTATTTCAGAGCACGCTTCAATAAAACCTAACATTAGTTTGACCTGCATACATTGTCAATACCTTAATGTTCAAAACATAAGGCCCGGTTTAGACGGCGAACTTTTCATGCGCCGAATCTAATGCAAGGATTAAGTGCGACGCTAGAGTGGTGTCTAAATCAATTAAGTTCGGCAGATTTTGATTAAGTTCGACACGACTCGAAGATGCGACAAGACAAGTCGTATATGCGACACAGGTTCGACATTGATTTAGACGCCGTGCTTTTCATGCGCCGAACCTAATGCATGCTTAATTTTTTACATTGTAACATTACAATATGATTATCATATATTTGCATTGTAAATATGTCCAATATAGTGTCCTCGCAATTTGGTACGGCACAATTAAGTTCGACGTCTAAATCAGTTTCCAATATTTTGCCGTATCTATACAGCAATTAGATTCGGCGCATGAAAAGTTCGCCGCCTAAACCGGGCCTAAGAAAGCAAGCTCATTTGTGAACGAAATTTAAGATTTAAAACTCTGCACATATACAGATGTATATCATGAAAGATTGGTACGATACTATGTATGCCTACGCTCATGAAAATTGAAAATCCTTTGATGTACTATCAATTAATTAACTGCATGCAGGTCTATTTATTCTATCAAATACATATTCTTACAATTTCTGCTAATATCATGAATGCATGATTCTGAGAGAAATGTCACATAACTCAAGAAGGTTCCACCAATCATAATTGAAATAAAATAGGTGTGGTTAACATTTACATTAAAAAAATAAATTAATAAAATGTGCTTTGATGGTGAGCTTTGTTTAAATTAAGAATTAAGAACTTGTAAGATAGATGCTTTGTGGGGAAGCTGCTGGTTGTCTTGGCCCCATCCAGGTTTCCTGTATATTGTAGGTTTTTTTCTGGCCTCCCTGACTATCCAGCTATAGTATGAGTGAAAATAACGCTCAAATATATGTCAAACTATCGTCTGGCAGCAGCTGTCTTGTATACGAATTCAGCTGTGGTGGGAGTTCGTCTATGCATGGGAATACACATGTGCTGTGTATTTGTGGAGTTGAACTTCAGGCCCATGCATATACTCAGGTTATTTATGTAAATAGAATCAGTCAAATCGTACGTACGTATACTGTCCAAGGGGATTATCACCCCTTGGTTCAGGTCTATGTCATAAGGGGTCGCTACCAGTCTGGCAGGGCCGTATCGGGGATTCATATATGTCCAATATAGCCATCGGTTGTCTGGTGAAGATGGTGTAAGATGGTGTCAGATGCTTTGTTTGTCAGAAGTTTGTAGTGTGGTGTCGGATGCTTCAGCTGAACAGCTGTTGTCACAATTGTGCATATATAGTGTTGCCTCGTTCTTTCAAAACCACGTATATATCAATAAAAGTCACAAGACCGACGACAAAAGCGTTACTGCTAATTGTGCATATATATAGTGTTGCCTCGTTCTTTCAAAAACACGCTTCGTATATACTATAAACTACAGTAACAAACGCGTCAACGAATCACGGCGCCCTTGGCGGCATTACTTTAGAATCTTGGACAACGTCAAATATTCATGTGTATTTCCTTTCAAATTATGTATACATGCTTATATTCACTTTTACATTTTAGGCATTTCCGGGCAGCAAATTACAAATTATAACAGTTATAGCATGGACTAGCGGCAAAGTTAGTAGAGCTGATCTCAGCTTCATGGCTGTAACGCAGCCATGCAATGTCAATGACAAATACATAAGCCAGCAGGGTTCTTGTGCGCACTTTATATAACTGAATCAGTGTAGCAATTCATTGCATTATTAGCTTTTACTCCTTCAAATTCGACCGGCAAACTACAATGACAAATAGAAAACAGCAGGGTTCTTTCGCACACGTGCCACGTATCGTAGAATGACTATCATCTCAGTCTAAACATTAGGAAGATAATGTGCGTAATCTTTCCAGAGTTTTCAAACGAATTTAACTCCCAATTACAAAATGTAAAGTTCAATATACAATACAAAATATATTTCAAAATCAATCTCCTATAAAATATAATAAAAATGTTTGACACGTAGGCCTACAGTGTGGTTTCAAAATCAAACTCCTCGAAAATATAATAAAAATGTTTGAGATGTACAGTGTGGCTATACTAAGTAAGGAACTGACAGTTTACATGCATGCACTGTAATATGAGCGTGCGGAGTTCGGTGCTTTGCCTATGCAGCGCCGCATGGGGTACACGCTTCCTATATATAGTAAACTGCAGTAACAAACGCGTCAACGCATCACAATTGTGCATATATATGGTGATATTATACCTCAAATTCAAATTGTCCAATCAAGAAGCTTAGTTTGTGCCACGTGAGCATGAAATTAATCGCGATATCACGCCTTACGTCATCAATTAGCGAGCCTGCGTTCCTTTTGACAATGTTCCACCCCATGTTCCCCGGGGAACATGGGGTGGAACATTATTCGCGTAGACCGCGCGAGACAACACGCATGACAAAAACATGGCCGACAAAATATAAATAGTATTGATGAGTGATGAATAATCAAATTTTAAACGTAAAACCTGGGGCGTTTTCAAAATTTTGAAGCAAATTTTGAAAAATGTTGTCATTAATATTCCAAACGATATGTGATTCGAAAGAAAATCGACGAAAACTTGCGTTAATCCGAAAATAAAACATCGTATTCACGAAGGTATGTGTCAAGTTTTTAATTCTCAACTTGGAGGCTTTTAATTTTCGGTATAATATATCATTTATAGACCCTCCGCTCGGGGGATTCGGCAAAATATTACCCGAAGTGATGATATTTCCCTTGGGGCAAAGCCCCTCGGGAAAGATCATCACTTCGGGTAATATTTCGCCGAATCCCCCTCGCTCCAGGTCTATAAATGATAATTGTTGCCTCGTTCTTTCAAAACCACATATATATCAATAAAGCCTACAAGACCAACGACAAAAGCGTTATGGCTAATTGTGCAAATATATAGTGTTGCCTCGTTCTTTCAACTTCGTATATACTAAACTGCAGTAATTAACAAACGCGTCAACACATCACAATTGTATTGCATTGTTTTTTCAAAACCACGTATATAGCCCCCTATATCAATGAAACCCACAAGACCATCGACAAAAGTGTTACGGCTAATTGTGCATATGTAGTATTATATTATACTCATGATATTATTCACTTTGAGTAATACTTATATTATGCACTTTGAGTAATTTTGTAATTTAGTTGCATCGTTTTCAAACCGTCATAACTGCCAGGAAAGACAACAATACATTATACTATACTCATTTTGTAATTTACGTCGTCAAGGACAATACAAGCCTATAGGGCTGCATAGATGCCTAAAGGCTTGTATGCATGCGCAATTGTACCATTTTACTCTAGGCACCTATATACGCCACGTTTTTACGTTTTTCGTATATGGTTTTAGCCTATACGTCGTCAAGGACAATGTCCCATTGACATTGACTAATTGATTGTTCCGTGTCCAGCCGCCAGTGCTGCGAGCCGAGAAGCCGAGTAGACCATCCTGTAGTGTTATCAATGTGATATTTCAGATTTCCAGTTGTTGATATCACAGAAACTATTCATGCAGCACTGCAGCTGTACTTATTTTGAACTTTCAACCATTCAACAAACGCACTTACGCACAATTTCATCTTCAAGCAATTTTATACCATCATATTTAATGGAAGAATTAGTCAAACGTTTTGTCCTAACTTGTACAGCGGATGAAATTTCGAAGAAGAGACGTGCTTTGCTTCAGGCTATCAACGGCGATGTTTTCTATCCCATGTGGCTCAAAAAATTGAAAGACTTTTCTGGAGGAAACCGACACGCGATGGCGAAACTTTCCAGTTTCTTCTCATCCTGGTAGAAAACGGCTGTCCACCAGATTTATCAACGGAATGGATCCTAACCTCCACATATTGGGACAAGACCAAGAGTCAGCCAAATTCCAGGTTCATTCAAAGTTTCAAACACGTTGGATCCTCGCTAATGGCAATGCTGCACAACATTCCAAAATTTGGTTTTACTTCGACACGCATTTAGCCAAATACGTTCATTTGGATTGCATTATACAGGGTGTATAAAGAAAAACGCAACCTCGGAATTTCCTAAGAAATCACTGTGCAATTCTTAAGCATAAAAGATTTTAGGCCGCTGGGAATTGAAATCGAATTGCTAATAGATCATATTACTGTTGTTGTGCATTAAATAAATGCATAAATTTTGCTTTATGCACTCGCGTGTGCAGTAATTTTGACAGTTGTGCTATTTTAAATTCCCAGGCGCCTAAAATCTTTTGTCTTTAAAACAATGTCGATTTCTTGGGAAATTCCGAGGTTGCGTTTTTTTTGATACACCCTGTATAACTAGAGGGCACTCAGAGACTGCATGCCTCCGCCTACGCGCAAACTATTGAAGTAATCTATTGTTATTAGAATTTGATGGCTGGTGCATATATTATGCACGTCCTAATTACGCATTCAGTATAAAGTTTTATTTAATTGACCGGGAAAAGCAAGAAAAACTTTTGTTATTTGTCATTCAATTTTTAACCAAATTCAACCAAATTTTAATCAGTTCTTCCTTAGCCGATGGGAAATGCATTCAAAAAATTTCGTATGAATATGTTTGGTATTTCTTGAGTTATCGTGCTCACAGACACACACACACACACACACACACACACACACACACACATACATATACGCACACACACACATACACACACACATACAAACCCAGATGATTACATAACCTCCTGGCGGAGGTATAAAATATCTAGTCTACGGTAAGAAATGAGCAAGATTGCTGTTTTTGGCCGGATTTAATTTCGTATATAGAGATCTTCAGTAGCATTCTGTAGTGTTTATTTACCTGGTGACTAATTAATAGAGTTTAAAATTAAACATTCTAATAATGTGGCGTAGTTTTAATGATGCATTGTCCGACATTTCTTGTTAAGTATTCATTACCAGAAATGTGGGTCAAGATGGTGGACATCACAAAAATTACGCAACAAAATGGCGTCCGATAATGCTGGAATTAGTATAGGCATATAAGAACTTTCTCAAATATCGCATGAATGAGCCGCAAATCACGCTTACTTGGCATCGTTTCACATGCTATGCTGATTCAGGAATCTATTAATTCTAACAACTATTTCTAGAATAAAATACACTCACTTCCCGAGCTCACTATTGATATCACATTCACCAGCATAATAACTCCTTATATTGCATGTGAATCTGACAATACACGCCACAAACGCAGCCTGGTGTACGGAAATATATCCAGCGAAATCTTGAGCTTGGCATCGCAATTGTTTCAATAACATTCAAAGTTTATATATTCGCCAACAAAAGTATCTAAATTCCGCAAGAAACTACTTCCAAAATCCTCTAAACTTAGCCATTTTATTCATCCATACATGCTACAAGAGGCCATTTTTATCAGCACAACTACGATAAAATTTTCATACATTGCGTTTCTTCTCCGCCATATTTGTTTTTAAATTAATTATGCTCTTCCCAGTCTCTTACCCTGCCATCACGCAAATTTATGCACATTTCTCAGCCAAAACATTTATTATACGTGCGTAAACGCGTCAAATTTGGAAAATACTTCTTCGATCGTGCCACAAATAGTGGTTCTGCTGTTGTAAAAAATGTCATACAATCTTACATTAGTTAATCGCAGTAAAATAAAGTGGAATTTAGCCGTCAGCACGGAGTTTCCTCTTCAATATATTATTATTAACAACACGATTTGTCTTTGAAGACTATGAGCCGCCGCCATTTTGTTTGTATTTTTTGATGAATCATCATTTATGCGTAAAACCGCTGGTTACGATTGAGGACGCAAAATGTCCCACATTTCTGGTAATGTCAAAATTTGAAATCGTTAAATTCAGTTGGTTATAGAGCGCTGCACCGCAATCGCAGGACCGCAGGTTCGATTCCTACCAGAAGACTTATTATATAGTTGCATTTTTCGCAGTTGTTCCTGCTTTGGTCTAATAAATGCATATGTAATTTACTACACTCGACAATTTCCTTTTACATGCATATACTCTTCAACTTGCACATATAATTACTATATATAGAGTTATTGGGTTACTGTATAATACTATATGTCACTTATAGAGTTATTGGGTTACCTGTATAATACTAACTTGTCAATACATTTTAGAATTATTTTCGCTTGATATACAGGGATATGTATACAGCTATTTCAATTAAGGTTGTCCACGAGCAAAACGGAAAAGTCGAATATGAGCGCAAAAGGCTGCTGCATGGGAATCGCTTTGAAAATTCATTAATCTGTTAGCGATTCCCAGCAGCCTTTCCCGCTCGTAAATTCGACTTTTCCGCTTTGCTCGTGGACAACCTTGATTGAAATAGCTGTATATAAACATATGGAAATCATAGTTTATAAAATATTGAAATTTGAATACAACTGATTACCTGATTGAGTATGTATGTCTCCATCATTTATTCTTTAGCTTACTTTAATCGTGTAAACAATGCCATTAATATTTTACCAATGCATCAATCTAAAATAGAAAATTATACTTAGGAAGCTCCTAACATTTCTCTCCATCGTATATGCAATCACATACCGTCGATACCGCGATGACGAGAAAGTGTGAAAGATACCAGTTCACACTGTTCAGGTTATAATCCTTGATCGTCAATTTGTTCAAATTATCACCATAGAATAAAGATCCATATAGAAGGGCCACTCAGGGGTGCAACGTGTCCTCGTTTTTTTATGCAAAAATATGCAGTTTACTGGCCAGAAGGCGGAGCAGCCAGCCAGTACAGCGTGTTTATTGGCCAGAAAATGTCATTGACTGGCTAGGAAAATGGCGGCCAACATGCGTAATGCGACATGCGCGAGGACAGAAACTTCAAAGCTTCCGACGTAAGTGGCCCTTCTATATGGATCTTTATTCTATGTTATCACTACTTGCACCATAATGATTATTCATCAAGCAAGCGATATACTTAGTTTTCAAATTCAAAACTTTCGGCTCTACCTCCACAAAAGTCTATACGGCCAACTGCATACTGAACGCTAAAACTGTTCAACCCGCCGAATAATGAATTTATTGAATTAATTCGTCTTTTCAAAACAGAATCTTAATTATAGGGATTAACTGCAAATTTATTGACTGAAGAATGATATATACATGCAGGGTGTATAAAAAAAGGTAATCGAACTTCAGCGCGCTATTATACGTGAATTACTTGGCGTATGAACAATTGGTTTTCATATTCGGAAAGATCATGCTTTTAGCTATTGAATGACATGCTTTTCATGACAAGTGGAAAAAAGATAAGCATGTACGAGGCCGATTAAAAATGTTAGTCAAAATCGCATATTTTCACCTCTGTGCCTAATTAAAACAATGCATAACAAAAGAAAAAGCAATTAATCACGAACGTGTTGTACAGGGTGTCCCCCAAAAAAGTGACACTATAGAAATTATCTCATTGTTCTTAAGCCGCTCTTAAACGCGCGTGATTTACACGCCTGGGAATTTAATGAACTTGTATTTAATTTAGGCATTTTAAAACGTTTTCCTTTGTTAAAATATTTTAACGCCCGAGTCAAGCAAAACGATTACACTAATAAACGGTTTGCTTTCTTATTTTAAATTCCAGAAGCAGAAGTTTATGCACCTGTGGGATCAACTTAGTGCTAGGGCATTCAAATTATAACAATAGGATGATTTCTATAGTGTCACACTTTTTTTTGGGACACCCTGTAGCTTAGCTAAGATTTATTCCGACTTAATAATTATTATGAATATGTGTGCAGTTTAATGAAGTGAAATTCATCAACTTAAGTCCTAAAGGGGGTTCATTTTCAATGGTTTTAGACCCAACTCTCAACGGTGAAAATATGTGATTCTGACTAACATTTTTTATCGGATTCGTATTTGCTCATTTTTTATCTATTTGGCATGAAGAAGATATCATTCAACAGCTAAAAGCATGATCTTTCCGAATGCGAAAAATCTCGTTCATACACAGAGTAATTCAGATACAATAACGCGCTGAAGTTCGATTACCTTTTTTTATACACTCTGTACAGTAGTTTAAAAACAATGTGAATTGCATGGCTGGGTTTATTCATCTTCAACAATGAAAAACGCTTCGAAGCTCAAGAATGATTCTTATGCTGACCGAAGCATGCACACTTTCATTTATCAAATTCATCTGATCAATTTAAACAGTCTAATTGTGAAGTATTCAAATCTCACATTACCCAGTGTAGATCCCATCACTCTCTGTACATGCAGGGTATCCCCAAAAATGTACCCTCTACAGAGAAACGTGTTGTTAGAATTGGAATATCTCAGCACTCTGCTGAACTCACAAATGCATAAAAGCTTGACTAAGTAAATTTTGTGCATAAAGAAACTGTTTAAGAAGCTGCTTTAAATTCCCAAGAGCAGAAAATCGTGCGCTTTAATTTAAAAAGTATTTTATTTTAATTTCTTAATAAGTCAATATTTATAATATATGCACCCTGAGAATATTTTACGCATCTTTGCATTCAGCTTTGTGCTAAGGCATTCAAATTCTAACAATACGTTAATTCTGTGGTCCATTGTAACTATACCGGACGAAACCTAAACTGGACTTAATTTATTTATTTATACTTAAAGTGTACTAGTTTACGTCTTAATTGTTTGTCCTTACTGAGGAGTAAACTCTTTCCAAATATACTTAATTCTTCACTGTTAATTAACGTTCGTGCTATAATTTGGTTTTGAAATTCCACCTCCATTAAGGCGGATTTCCAGTCCTCGCACGAAGCTCCTCGCAGCTCGCTGCGAGTGCATATACGTGGGCATTTTCATCCAATCACAATGCCAAACAGTTAATTTTAATTTGATACAAGCACTCGCAGCGAGCTGCGAGGAGCTTCGTCCGAGGGCTGGAAATCCGTCTTTAGTCAGTGATTAATTAAACTAGGAGTTACTATCGCAAGGAAAATGCTGCCGATATGTACATGCAGGATTTACTACAGTCTTTTTCACTGTATGTCTCTACATCAATTACCTCGTACAATTGTATCTCACATCTCACCTTATAAAAAGTACACTATAAACTCGGTGGTTACATGTGTTTAAGCGTGGAACGTGTAGCGTGAGTTACCTGTAAACTAAAGGTTGTTCAAGCAGCAATAATAATCTCCTTGAATAAGATCTTCTATACGACATTCAAGGTCTGTTTATTCAGCATTTGAACTTTCGTTTAGCCTAGTGACTTCTTTCAATGCATCAAAACAATTGGGCCTTCCCTCATGTAAACAGCCACTAAGACGCCTGATCAGGAGGAAGGAAAAGTGCAATTTGAATATCAAACACCTTGTACAAAGTCAAAGGTCGGCTAAATGTTCTAATTCTACTTTCTTGGGGTGGCCAGTTTTATATGAATACCTTTAATGCTTATAATTTCTTAGCCTGCGAACAGGCTCTCAAGCTGAATTGAGAGCCTGCATCGATGACTAATGAATTTGAATATCTGCTCCGTAACGTTTGTTTTTCCAAATATGGAACGTCTATCCTTATATGGTGTTGTTTACAACTTTCGTGCAAACTAAATTTAGACCGTGCAAACTAAATTTAGACCGTACAATTTATACTGTTCTTCGAAATATAAGATATTGAAGCAAAAGTTCAAATGTTTTAAATACTGTTTTCTCAAAACAGAACATTTCGTGCTTTGAGATAAGATGGCCAAGACCAATTTGATCCGTTAATGTGTTTTTTATGCATAGTTCAGCTGTTGACATATATAGAGCTCAGCGGAAACATATAAATTATAGCATCTGACCAATGAGAATTTCGCGTCACGATTTGAGACGCAGATATTCAAATTCATCAGTCATCGATGCAGGCTCTCAATTCATCTTGAGAGCCTGTTCGCAGGCTAATAATTTCTGGCTTTTGTACATATAATTATAATATTGTCAGTGGCAAAGCTAGGCATAGCAACAGGTCATGCTATGCGGCAAGTTTTTAATGAATTGCATTATTCAAATAAATGCAGGTTTATTAGCATATAGCATGACCAGTTGCCATGGCCAGCTTGCCACTAAATACAGTGCAATGTTTATATAAAAATACTAAATCAGTTTTTGATCCAACTATCGTTTTATTTGGCAATAAAACGATAGTTGGAACAAAAGCTGCCTTGGTATTTTTTTTGAAGGTGGCCCTTCAGGGGCGTCGCTTAAATGTCTTTGCTCCCCCCCCCCCAAACTTTTTAACAATGGTCAGTAATAAACCACAAAGTTAAATTATATTATTTCAGTTACGCATGTAGACAAAACAATTTGAGATATTTTATAACATTTTGTTACATTTAGAACTCTGTAAATCTCCTTCTAAAGTGAAAGAAATGGTATTTCAGAGATTCTATAGTTTTAAATTATCCCGGGGACATGCCCCCGGACCCCCATAGAATTTCACATGCTGTCATCCGCCTTCGGTGGGAGTTATAGTGTGCCCCCCCTCCCACTTTTATAACCGCTCCGACGCCCCTGGCCACCTTCAAGGCTACCCCTATTACGGGGAGACAAAATCTATTTGTTGACATTTCTGTTTAATATGCTTCAGATAACACCATTCAATAATGATTAAGATCGTACTCAGTCAGAATTATTAAGTAAGAGTTAATTACCTCGAACCTCGGCATTTAGTCAAATACAGGCCGAGGCGCGCAGCGCCGAGGCCTGTATTTGACTAAATGCCGAGGTTCGAGGTAATTAACTGACTTATTACATGATTGAGAAGGTTTTCACAAAACAGCTCTTACGCTTGTGGGACGTAACACAAGGCTGAGTATGCGCACTATATACGCTTTAAAATGTGGTCAAGCATGCGCAGTATATCATTTCACGTCCCACAAGCGAAAGAGCAGATGTTACTGTATAAATTCCCTGCACAAGCAAGTTTGATGGTTGATCCAGCTAGTCCTCGTGCACCGAATGATACATACTCTTACCTAATGGTAGAGTTTTGACGGGCTCTGAGGTACACGGCTGTTGTCTCTTTCCCGACTGGAGACGGTACAGCGTTTATCGAGTTGGGAAAGAGACCAACCTCTCATTAGGTACTTACCCAGATAAGTACATCATGAGTATAGTTTTAGTGAGGTATTTATCTAGATAAATACCTCATTAAACTATTCATGATGTATATATCTAGTTATTTAACTAGATATATACATCATGAATAGTTTAATGAGGTATTTATCTAGATAAATACTTCATTAAACTATTCATGAGGTATATATCTAGATAAATACCTCATGAATAGTTTAATGAGGTATTTATCTAAATATATACCTCCTCATGTGTGTATTGAGCAATTCAAATTCATACATCAGCCCCGCTCTTCCCTGCTGAATATCAAATCCCTCCCCGTGCTTTTAGAGCGTAAACCTAATGAACAGGTAATTATGCTAAATACAGTTTTATGAATAACAATGAAAACCGACTCAATCATGTAATAAGTAGAATTATTTCATATTATGTACTATTTAAGGCACGCATAGGAGTGTTTTATCAGATATAAATAGTGTCGATCATTCATGCCAGAAATATAAAATAACACCGTGCTTTATTTACCCATTCATCTTCACAAATATTACTCGGAAGTTTATGGCAATTCGCATTATTTTATGATTATTTCTGTCGTTTATAATAGTCGCCATGTTGTGAACAACCCCCCGGGAACAAAAAAATAATATCAAAACAGCCAGATTTGGCCCGCCCGTGGATGACAAAATGACACAAATCGAGATAGTAGCAGCTATGAACTCGGCGGTCACGTGGTAAGCACACCAAGTGTAGAGATTAGTTTGCTGCCTCGCTAATGCTCGGCAGCAATAATTATTAATGATTATTGTTCTTCGGGCTCCAGTCGGTAAGGAGACACTAAACTAGGCGGACTACTTCATTTAATATACTCAGTGGATAAATTTTATTTTCGGAGCGGATTTGCTTTTTTGATAGCATGCCGGAAATATATTTGTTTGGTTAGTTAGTTAGTTAGTTCGTTAGTTAGTTAGTTCGTTAGTTAGTTAGTTAGTTAGTTAGTTCGTTAGTTCGTTGGTTAGTTCAAATGGCTAAGAGATTGTTGGTGTGCATGCAAAATTTCTATACATATTTATTCTTAAAAATACGGACATTCAAATGCCGTCTTAAGTTTAGTGGTAGACTGTTCCAAAGTTTAATTGTGGTTACACTAAAAGTTCTACCACCTTCAGTTTCCCTTTTATACTTTGGACAGATGAAGTTAACTTGGCGTATCTTGTACTTCTGCAATGTTGCTCACAATTTAATTTTAATGTTTCACGTAAATAAGGAGCAGTCTCGCCATTTATGCTCTTATAAAGCAAATACAGCTTTATTTACTTTACTTCCTTCATAGAATGAGAGCCATTTCAAAAGAGTTGGATTGTCGATGACATATAAGGAGCTTCTAAAATAACTCTAGCAGCCCTCTTTTGCAACTTAAACACCATATCCAGATAGGGTCGACAGTTTGTCCACACAGCACTCGAATACATCATAATGGGCTTAATGACATGATTGTAATAAAGGAAATATCACATTTATTTATTTTATTGTGTGGAAACATCACATCTATTTTGTTTTACTAGCTTTCGATCTGTAAGCCTGTATGGGTCTTCACCAGTGTAGCTATTAAATTTATAATATATCAACAATGGTCGAAAGCTTCGCCAAAGCCGAGGCAATGAAATGAACGTGTCCACAAAACAAAACGAAACGAAACAAAACAATTATATTTATTTTCACCATGCAAACTTGCAAGGTCAAGGATCTTATTAATGTGCTTTATAACAATGGTATCAAGATAATGAAATATCTTTATAAAGCACAATACGCTAATTATTAAAAAAAAAAACAGGCAAATGCTTGAGAACAACAAAGTATCTTTTTATCTCCAAATTACAGCAAAAAAATATTTTGAAAGTTCTTTAATTAAATATACGTCTAGCTTTGGCGTAATTGCCTGAATGTCTGTACAAAGTCTAGTGTGATATTTGCCCATGCATGGAGAGTTTACTGCAGTGGTAACAAAATTGAAGTCGGCATATAGGCGGAAAGAACATGTAAAACTATAGGATAAGTTACTAGTCAACTTTTCTAGCTTATCTTTTTTCGTTCTGGAGATATTTTAGTTTTACTTGATATAAAAATGAAATAAATCTATGACATTACAAACCAGTAAAGTAGGTCTATTAGTTTCAAAGGTAGCAGTCTCGTCAAAGGTTCAAAAGTGATAAAATATTTCTAACGGATATATATATATATATATATATATATATATATATATATATATATATATATATATATACTGTTTATTCGTTTCACCAACGTGTACAGAAAGTTATGCAGAAAGCAGGCACTTTTAGTTTATAAAATTGGTTTAAAACTGTGGCAATTGATACACCAGGCGGAAATCTTAGTTTAAAGATAAAGAACAGAGCCCAGCAAATAACTTTAACACCAAACATCATAAAAGTAAAATTGTAATTAGCTAACGTTTCGTTGTTTACAATACAACATCTTCAGAGCAATCTAAATGAATTTACAGGGTATGGTATATATATTAAACCATTATTTTGTAAATATATATACCATACCCTGTAAATTCATTTAGATTGCTCTGAAGATCTTGTATTGTAAACAACGAAACGTTAGCTAATTAAAATTTTACTTTTATTATGTTTGGTTTTAAAGTTGGTTTAATTAAAGATTCCTCCTGCAGCTGGTAGTAACACAACAACCAATAAAGGATAGTCCTTAATGGATCTTTAGGCATAGGCAGCCCAAAACGGCGTGCAGAATGCACCAATAATGCTTCCAAATGTCAATTTGCATTAAGCTCGTCCCATTTCTTTGTCATTTGTCGCGCGCCGCAAGCACTCAATTGAAAAGCAGTATTTATATATAAATATATATATAGATTATACCTAAGGTTGGCAACTATATCTCAACTGACGAATATACCACTTCGGCAAAACGCAAAATACTTCGTACACGTAAATAAAACGATAAAAAATTATAAAAAATTATACCACATTGAACTCTGATATTCTTTCTACATACCCGCATATAAATTTTGTTTTCAAGGCTGCAAGAAAGATGAAAAATTTGCACAAACGTTTCATGGTCTGATCAAATTTTATGGCCTATATAGAATTTCGCTTACCTCAAAATTCCGCAACAGTCTGTTTCATCAGTAAAGAATCATCATGCGGTATCTCCAAACCGTCTGATGATTCTTTACTGATGAAACAGACTGTTGCGGAATTTTGAGGTAAGCGAAATTCTACATTTGCTCTATCTTTATGATATTGAGCACTCTTTGCGTTTCGTATACACAAACCTACTCGTATATATATATATATATATATATATATATATATATATATATATATATATATATATATATATATATATATATATATATATATATATATATATATATATTTACCTCTTGCCGCCAGGGCATAACTCCATCCACGACCTGAGATCTATTAGATCTTTTGACGTTCCAGTTTGTAAAACCAATCGGTTTAGTAATAGTTTTATTATGGCATCGAGTAGCAAAACTGAATAGGTTTTACTCTTCATTTACCTATTTTATATTCTTAATAACTTTTGCATGCTTATTATAAACAGACTCTTTTGACAATTTAGTTAATTAATTATAATACTTTGATATATCTCAAAACTCTAATTTTTAATAATTTTTAATTGTAAGTATAATACGCAATTCAGCTCATGGCTGCAATGTATTTACCATTTCTAAATAAAGTATAAGTATAAAGTATAAGTATATATATATATATATATATATATATATATATATATATATATATATATATATATATATATATATATATATATATATATATATATATATATATTCCTGAATATATATCATGCAGTTAAATGTTTCGCAACGAAAATCCGTCATCTTTGTCCTCTCGTGAATCGTTGTGAGTCCCTGGCCGTTGAACTTTTACTGTATAAAAAAAATGACGGTAACGGTTTTCACGAAGAAAATACGGGCGATGTGAAGAAGACAAAAATAAGACGGTTTGCGGAACGACCAACCCCCTATAATGGACCCTCTCCTAACTCTTCGGCGTGCAGCAAAGCCAGCAATTGGTTTAATAATCGTTGTTGCTGAGACGCGGAGCTGGGTGCGTTTTACAAGTTCGGTTTTCAGTTTGGTGTAGGATGCTTCAGCAGGAGGGTTGATGAAAAGATCTCGGACTCCTTGAGCGACTTCGGGTTGAAGTGAACCAACAACATTCTATCAAGCCAAGTTATGGTTTGCAAATTAAAGCCTCCAAGCAGAATAACATCGTTATTCCAAAGGTGAATACAACTACTTATGGGCTGAAATCCTAGCGATATCAGGTAGCAAAACTATCGAATTCGCTTCTAGACACTCCTAGAGCTGCAGAGAACTACAGAATGTTGTCAAACAGTACTAGTTTAAACGACATTAAAATCTTAGACAATCTACAGTAACTCAACGCATTTTTACTTTGGTCAAATTAATGTAATAACTATAAATCTAATTTTTCCTTCTTTTTACCATAGTCTTATAATAAATTAATTAATATTGTCGTGGCAATACATGTAAATTAGCTTTTTCCATAGCTAAGTGTATTTTGATCGCGTTAAATAAATGTTATTGTATTGTATTATTGTATTGTAACATACGCGTACTTTGTGAGTTCTGCAGTGATGCATCTGGTTGTGAATTCGGCTTCGACTTGGGAAAACCAAAGTGCTGGATCGCTTGGCCGGAGTTTGATGCTGATGGAGGTCAGCGGTGATGCTGTAGGTTGCGCGTAGGAGGTTGAAACTGTTGCAGACGAAGTGTGTGACTGTTGACTGTCCATTGCTGCGTAGAAATAAAAATGGGGCATAAAGTGGAAAACACGGAGCCTGTCAAGATATTGTTTATTTTGCGTAAAGATTCGATTTTAACCAGACTCCGCGTTTTCCACTTTATCGGGGGTATAAAGTGGAAAACGCGGAGTCTGCCAAGAAATTGTTATTTTGCCTAAAGATTTGAGCGGTTTGTGAACAATACAATTTCGCTTGTCTTTCACTTTTGAAATACAAACTTTTACGCTGATTTGGGAGTATTTTTTCCTTGTTGGGTGCATATAAAACCAGAGATAAAGCGCAGCAAACAATCGGTCCTGAGAGTCCAAGATTAATTATAATTTTCCCACAAAAGAGGAAATTCAGAGAACGTGCAAGTGCAACGAATGTTTACTACGCGATTTAGGAAATGTATTGATCCGAACAAACTAAAAAACTATGAAGAAACTGGCAGGCAAAATATAAAGCGCAGACACCGCAATAATTGTTACTATTCGTGTGCGGCAAGTGATAATCAAAAGGCAGTCTTTAAAATCATGAAATACTCACCCTACATACGTAACTCAACCGGAAATTCTTTCCTACAGGCTACAGCCAAATCACTTAAAAGAAAACATCCATAAACAACCTAATTAGAACAAAATCTTTGTATTTACTAGAGAAGTATTGAAAATCTAACTCTCGTGTTCTCAAGCCATAAAATTGCTGCAAATTGCATGCACTGTTGTCGCACAAAAGTTGCGGTCAAAATCGCGGGGTGTTTACATGCAGATTGCAAAAAATCTTGCCGGAAGTTGCAAGTGTAAACGGACTTTCTGGATTTTTTTACCGATATTAATCTAAGGAATTCTTGTACGTGGCAATGAGAGCACTTGCTACGTCGAGTTACATCACATGTGCCATTCGTTTGGCACAAAATATCATTTAAGATAAAATCGAATCTTTAGGCAAAATATACAATTTCTTGACAGACTGTCGTTTGCTTGCTTTTGGGACAGTTTAATACGCCAATGGTGGTTTATACACGATTAAACACGAACAGAATATTATACGCACGCATGTTCAGGGCACGTTATACAAATGCCAGCAGTCAGATGAGATAGTGGAGAGTTTATAGTCTACTGTCCCCAAGGATATGTCTGTATTGAGAACATTACATTCATGTTCAAATCCTATGCTGTATGCTTTCGTTTAATTAATACTTTCTTGTCTATACAATACACATATACAATCTATTTAAAGACCATGTCTGGAAAGCCTATAAATCCAAGTTTATAAGCAGCAAATTAAAACGATATACTAGTTAAAAGTATCTAGGAAAATCCCTTGCAGATCCCCAATGTTTGAAATACATGCGGATGCTATTACGTTACGGCTTTGTATGCGTTCGTTACCAAAATTCCAGCAAGGTTCCATGATCTGGATCGTACTATGATTTCCACTGTCGGAAACTCAATAATGTTAAAAATGAAATCTCTTGAATTGAATAATGATAAATAGCTCTATAAAATTTGTTTTGACGAAGAAAAATGGTTTGAAAACAAAAACTAGTCAACATTCATATTAATATCGCCATACAAAACTGTACTGCTTGCGCTATCAAAGACACCTCAGAAGCACGCAATGACGTCAAAGGAGAGGACGCTGACAAATCCGCGTCTGCATGGAAAACACCAAAATGGTGACCAATTTTAAAAACATCTTTAACTTTGGCAAGCAATTTCTCCTTATCCTTAAATATTTGGACCGAGAAAAACATTAACATAGGATCTTTCAATATTTTTAATAAACATAGGATCTTTTACTCAAACACAACTTGTTTTAGGACTGGAGTTCCCGCTTAAGATTTTTAAATAGTATATTCCCAATTAGAATGTGTTTGGTATTTTTAAAAGCATTTAAAATGTGATATATTAATACAACCATTAAATGTCTTGGGATGAAAGAGGCATTTTTATAGAGTAGTAAATCCATTGATATCATGAATATTTTCAATTCAATTCAATTCAATTCAAAAGTCTTTTTAATAGATCAAAAGATAAAAATACATATCTTATGTTACAAGTATATATTAAAAAATACATTAGTAAAGTTTACATCATATGAATAGGTTATAGTTAAAAATTAATCTATTTGCAAACGACAATTTAAAACGTTCCGTGTTCACTCTTGGATACTGACTAAACTCTGTCCTCAAAGAGTAGCTTGTGAATTTTTTTCTTGGTATCAAGTCGACTATGGCACTCTTCTGATTTACAGAAGCTTTAAAAATATTTCTGTCTTGTATTTCTAAAAGATATCTAATATTTACAGGTTCTGATATATACGTTCGCTTAAAACATCTGTCAAAAAACCGTTGTAGAGTATTGAGTTCGGCTGGAGAAGAACCGTAGACGGACAGGCCAAACGTTATAGTTGATATTACTAGGGTCTTAAATAGATAATCTATCTCACATTGGCTATAGCCTTCTGCCCTGAGTGTTCGTATAACGTACAAGCATTTGTTTGCTTTGACCAATTTACCTCGCACATGACTGGTGAACTTGAGATTGTCTTGAAAAGTAGTACCTAAAATGGGAAGTTCTTTGCATTGGGGTATATTATAAACATTGTCAAGTTGATCATTATATCCCTTCTTCCGGATGATAAGCTCTTTACATTTACCAGGGTTACAAGTCATAAAATTATCATCTGACCAGCTCAGGAATTGTCCAACTGTATCTGTTGATGTATCAGGACCCTCACTCCAAACTGGCACTATTATATTTGAATCGTCCGCATATTTAAAAAGAGCGTTCTCGCCGTCTATGTCCACCTCTAAATCATTTAGGAAAATATTAAAAAGGTAGGGGCCACTTACGCTCCCCTGTGTTGTACCCTTATTAACATCCATCCATTCTCCACAAAAATCGTTACAAACGACTCTTTGCTTTCTATTCTTTAGAAAATTTAAATACCAATTTATGATATAAGGGTTGAGTGGCACAGTTTTTAACTTTTCCGAGAGGAGTGAATGTTTCACTGAGTCGAAAGCCTTGCTAAAATCCATAGAAAACAGTCTAACTGCTTTGCAGTCCGCTCTATCTAAGAAGCTGAGTACTTTGTTCTGAATAGTTAACAGAGCGTTTGTACAACTCCCCCCCTGCCTGTACGCAAATTGCGTTGGGGATAAAATTTCCTCAACTGTCGACTTGACCTGACTATTATAAACGAGCTTTTCGAAGGTCCTCGCAATTACAGGTGTAATATTTATTCCACGAAAGTCACCATCTTCCTTTGGTAAATCAACCTTTGCAAGAGGGTTAATATTCGCTCTTTTCCATGAATCTGGCCAAGTATGTGATGAAAGGGACAAATTCCAGACGTTAGTTATAACTTCGGTTAGAATTTCCGCATGATCATTCCAAACCCAATAGGGAATATAATCGGGACCTGTTGCTGTCCTCTTTATTCTTTTCAAGGCATTCCATACCTGCTGTTCCGTAAAGCTAGGAATATCTACTTCATCACCAATAATTGAGAGCGTCGGTTCGACATAACTATCATCGTGGCAGAGTTCGCCAAAGTAGCGATTTAATCTTGTAAGTGATGCATTATCTAAAGTAACTCTTGATGACGATGCATTTCGCTGAGAAATATCATTCGTCTTTCTCCACCAAGTTCTACTTCCCACCAAGGCCCTAAAATTTCTTCTGTTTTGACAAATGACATCAGAAATCCTTTTGTTAATTAAACTGAGTCTATCCTTTTGCGACCGAGCAATTCTGGATTTAGATTTTAGCAAAGATTTAATTAAAGGACTCATCCAGTAAGGGTCACGTGACGAAATTGAGACTGTTTTTGTGGGCATACATTTATTCATATGATCCATGATCTTACGTTCAAGACAATTCACAGCGTCATTTACATTCGTGGACTGCGATACATCCTCCCAATCTTCTTCTGCTAAAGCTTTGTGGAAATCTTCCTTTCGATGCTTTCTACAATCCCGAAATTCAACCTTTCGGCGCATAGGTTTTAGTTTCGTTCCTGCTGGTAAAATAACCCCCATGTGGTCTGTTTTAGTTAACATGTGGAAAGGATAACATTTTGAGAACAAATCTATTCTATTTGTAAGGCAGTTATCCAAACATGCGTTACCCCTTGTTGAAAAGTCGACCATTGCATCCCATCCTGATAGTTCCTCAAGGTGTTTTATGTCCAAACTGTTCAAATCCCCTCCACAAACAATTACAGTGTCTGGATATTTGTCCAGAACGTCGTCAGAAATATTTATCAAATAATTCAATAAGTCGCTCTCCAGATTATTGTGCCTAGGTGGGTGATAAAGGCCATATATCAACATGCGGTTTCCTGTAGGTAACAGAAGTGTGACACCAATAAGTTCGTACAAACTGGATCGATAAATATCAATAACTTTTAAGTTGTTCCGAACATATATTGCTACCCCTCCTTTTGCTCTCATATCGCGTCCTTCCCAACTTCTATCTCTTTTAAATATTGAATAATTGTGAATGGTCACCACAGCATCTGGCATTTCAGGTTTCAGGTGACTCTCGCTCACCACACATACATCCATATCGTTATTGACCAAGTCTGCCTCCAGTGCAACTACAGCTCGTACTCGATTTTTTGTTTTTGCCAGACTACATATATTAATAAACATAAACTTAGGAACAGCAAAACCTGATTCTCTCGAAGAAACTTTTCTTGTGGATGTTAAATTAATAGGTACCAAGTTACTTCGTCTCTTTGAGTTAATATTTGAAGTATTATTAGAATTACAGTGGTGGTAATTTTGTCTCTGTGTAATTCTAACAGGAATAGCTAAAAATGTTGGAAGCGAAACCAGGATTCATAATTAATTGTGTAAACGTTCTCTGGTTAAAAAAGATTTATTTATTAACAAGCTTTCGACTGCCAGTCTGCAGTCTTCGACGGGTAGATTTAAGATATAAATCTACCAGTCGAAGACTGCAGACTGGCAGTCGAAAGCTTGTTAATAAATAAATCTTTTTTAACCAGAGAACGTTTACACAATTAGGAATAGCTAAGTTCTTTTTCTTATCATCCTATGAACAAATTCTAGGTAATTCAACCAATCTTTCTGATTTTGTTGTGGTTGACGGTTTGGCTGGAAATTTTGATATGACTGGAAATTCTGATGAGGTCGATGATTCTGATGGGACCGGTAATTTTGATCGTATCGAAGGTTTGGGTAAGGGGGGTGATTTGGGTGAGGCCGATGATTTAAACGGCGCCGTCGAAAATTTGTCAGGTGAGCGGAATGGAGTGATGTCTTATGGTTCCCTTGATGCTTGGGAATTTCACTCACAGCATCCAGTGGAATCCGATCGGTGATTTTAGTTATGCCACGTTGGGATTGAGTATTAATTTGTCGTTTTGCATAATAGCCATGCTTGTATCGTTTCGAGTAAACCCTCTTCTTATTGGGAAGCTTACTTTGTTTATTTTTCTGCATATTTGATGGTGGATACTCAATTAGTGGCAAGTTTCCCAAACACATAGGTAGCGTCGTTTTGGTTTTACACCGTCTAATCGGTTGACCTTGTGGTGTACCTTCTACGGTATTGCAGTTTGATTTAGAATTCTCACATTGATAATCACGAACACTATTAGAATTGTTATTGATTTTACTCTGTAGTTTATCACTTTGATGCCCATGTGATAAACAAAACTGTTCATCCTGTAGACCATAGTTAATTGAGGAGATGGTTTGGAAACTTATTACCATTACAATAAACCTCACTATCTATGTTTTTCTTCAGGTTTAAGCAAAAATGTGGTCTTTCATCGTCACGTGCGTATTGTATTTTTGCTCAAACCAGCCAATAGCGACGGTTTTGTCCAATTACCCATCCATGACCTTAACAATAAGACATTTTGAACATTCCTATTGGTTGACTTGAGAAAAATACAATACACACGTGACTATGAAAGACCACATTTTTGCATAAACCTGAACAACATAGATAATGAGGTTTATTGTGATTTTATTGTAATGCTAGCGAGTTTCCAAACCATCTCCTCTATTAACTATGTGTAGACCAACCGATTTATTACAGGGGTTTTCACTGATTTCGTTTTGTTTACTAATTATATGAGTATTTGATTGTTCTCTGTTTGCGATGGTTGACCGCTCATCTGTTATATTTTGTATATTTTGCATGTTAATCATTTGACTATGAATTTGCTCAATCGCTTTACTGTTCTGGTATATATTATTGGAGAGTCTCGACTCCGTTATTACGGCATCTAACTTCACACCTTCGAGTTCAGTAGATAATTCGTTACACTTCCTCATATTTTCGCCGATATCCCTAGCAGAAATCGACTGGGCATTTGAACCAGACGCATTCTTTCCTAACATGCATTTTCCAGGATACCATGTGCATGATAAATCAAAGTTAAAGCTATCAAACTTTTTTGAATTGCCCCCTGGCGACGACCATTTACCTCGCTGGGCAAAGGCATATTCGATACATTTCTTCAGCGATTCGTGATCAGCAGACCATCTAATTCGTTCGCCATCGTAATATATCATTTCGGAAGTTTTATATCTGTAAATTTCTTTCACATCCCAAACGGTGGTCATTATATTTTCATCTTGGTCGGAGCTCATACAAACAGAACCCGCCGCCATGTTGTCACTCGCCATATCACTGCCATGTTGTCACTCAGCAGTCATCCCACATAACTTGAATGTTTCTTTCTTCCTATTTTGTACTTTTATCAATCAGTGGTGGATCTACTCTGGGTGTGCGGGGGGGGGGTGCGCATTTCAATAATAGGACGTAAGTTCCAGTCCCCTCCTGTTGTTTTTGTCCGCACGATATGATTAGCAGGAACTCGAGTTCTCTCTCCAGATAACTCCAGATCACTGCTCCAGTTATATACATGGAGCTCACTGATTGTGCGTATCTTTCGCATTCTTACACGCGAAAAACGTTTCCGGTCATCTGATGACAAATCTGATGCAAGTCGCAGGAGTCCTCTGCTCTTTGGAATACAAACACAAGCTGGTGAAATATATTATTTTTTGCTTGGCTTTTGGAGAATGTCTGCTGAAGATACTGCTTCCAAAGTTGCCAATATCAACATCAAAGGTATTAAGTATTAAAATACTGAAATAACCGTCCATGTAGACAGGAAATAACCGTCCACGTCATCAATTGGATATTAGATTTCCTGACAAATAGATATCAACGTATTAAATTAGCTGACACCTGTTATTGAGAATGGGGCCTAATTCCATCTGGTGTCCACCAAGGAACTAAGTTAGGACCTTGGTTATTCATTTTATTGCTAAATGATCTAAAAGTAACTCAAGCAGACTTCTGGAAGTACATTGATGATTCGACAGTATCAAAAATTGTTCCGAAAGACTGTATTAGTAATACCCAAATTATTACAGATGATGTGATAATATAGCCTAATAAAAATAGGGTGCAACTTAATCCAGGTAAGTGTAACAGCTACAAAGCTCGTTCAACGCTGAGCAGAGGCGCCGGAATATCGATAATAGCGGGTGCAGATATTCATATATTCGTGTTCACAGACTGTAAAAACAATCGATTTCAAAAGAAATTAATTGGGTAGGACACGAATATATGAATATTTGGCCCCCCCCCCCAATTATCGATATTCCGGCGCCTCTGACGCTGAGTCGGGGCCCTTTGATCCAATTGTAATTAGTGGAAAAGAGTTAGAAGTTGTCGGTTACGAATATTAACAAGGCCGTAGCTAGACTGATAATTGGGGGTGTGCATGTATATTCATACATTCACGGCGTGTTCTGCCCGACAGATTTCATTTGAAAGTAATTGTTTTCACCGCATGTAACCATGAATATATGAATGTACACTCCCCAATTATCGTGTCTAGCTACGGCCCTGAATATATTAAATCCTGGTGTCTTATTTATAGGGAGTTAGGAACGTAAGATGCCGACGTCAGGACGACGGCCAAACAAACTGTTTGAAATTATTGTATGGAAATGTTCTCTTGTATTTACTTTCGTATGAACTTAAAATAGTTTCGAACGAGGAAAACAGAGCGTTAACCCTCCGACCAATGTTGACCAACTCTGCATTTATTGATATTACTCTCATATTGACACTAAATGATGATATTCTTGTGACACTGAATGATCTAATAGTAATAGTAATATTAACTTCAATAATTCTGGTCAATCTAGTAATCACGTTAGTTCATCATGTCTCTTCAAGACAGAGGACAATTGCTAAATATATGCTTGTTTCGCTCTATATCAGAGCTCATCAGAATGCTCAGGAAACACTGATGAAATTTTTATTTACATCAACGAATCTTTCTTTTTTTAACAGATTTATTGGGTTATATGATAATACAAATAATTTATAAACAATTATTATTAACACACATATATCCTAGGGGATAGACATGAAAAGGGCTCAGATGCCCACCCGAAAATACTGAATATACTAAATGTAATTACAGTTTGTGACATGGACAGTCAGGTAAGAACCATTCACATAAGAACCTGTCTAGGATAACTTGGAGAAAATCTAGGTTCTTATTATATGCAGGGTCTTACTGTGTTGTCTGATTTCATGTCACAAAACAGGCCATGACTGCTTGTTCTGACAATATATATATATATATATATATATATATATATATATATATATATATATATATATATATATATATATATATATATACACACACACACACACACACACACAGATGTTTGGTAGTATAGTATATAAGTGCTTGTTGACTGCAAATTCATTTGTCTTTAATTCGTTGCAAACTTTTCTGAACAATTTATATTCTCAATGAACATGTTTTTTCGCTGTTGTTTCGGTATTAATTCTTTAAAAAACTTGCATTTAAACTAATTTCTACGTAATAAATGTATTTTGCTAAGCTGTCAAATTTTTTTTGAGAGTTTTTCCTTGTAATATTATTATTCTCAAAGCGAATATTTTCCTTTTTCTGCTTCGCAAAACTCATGTAGTTTTTGGACCGCCATCTTGTTTTTCGCTACTCGCCGTATATGAGCTGATATACGGCGAGTAATTCAACCAGTCAGATTGCAGAACAGCTCATATACGGTGGATGACTATATTATAAATATATATATATATATATATATATATATATATATATATATATATATATATATATATATATATATATATATATATATATATAATATATTATATGGGATGGTGCCACTCTCTGTGACACAAGATCTGGCAATCATAGTACAATATGAACTGGCTTGTGTTTCAGATTGCTTTGTGTAGGAGGCAATCCATCTAGGAGAAAGAAAGCTCGTATTTCAAACCCCCAGACCCCACACATGTAGGACTACATGATCATTAGAGCTTGGAAATTAGGTTAAATTCTTAAAGAAAAGCGACTCATTTTCGGTATATGTGAGGTATAATTTACTACATACATGCATGTATATAAATTGTGCACAAATTATCTAACTAATAGCTATGTGTAAACCTGCTAACACTTTATTCATCTCTGAGTCAGTGACATTTTCAGTGTTCTGGATCATTTTCATTACTTTGTGAAGAGTTTATTTTCTTTGATTTATATACATTTTTAGATTTGATTTGTCTTTTGCTGAATTCTTACTTTTGCTGAATTATAAACGTCGGCAAAAATTTGCACACCTGGGAGGTGATAGGTCGGCATTTAAGTCGGCATTGCCGAATGCCGACCTCGTTTTCGAGGGCTGATTTAGCTGCTTTGATTAAAATATACTTTGATCAGAGAAACTTTTTATGTGTTTCTATTAGGTGAGCACAAGTTGTCCATGAGAAGACAGTCAAAGACAGTAAAGCACGGTCAAGTAGATTAATTTATATCATTTATCACTCTGACAATAAACACTATATAAAAAGCCATCCAAAACATGTTAACTCCAAATTGCTCATTAACACTTTTTCATTGACAACTCCTAGTATAGTATAGAGTATCATATCTTTAGGCCTTAATTATATGGATTTCAGTTTTTAAATAAAAGAAATAGAACAGTTCGTATGTAACGATAGTGTATAATTAAAATTTAAAATAGTAAATATAAAAGAGTCAGAATTTTATAGTCATTAAAACCTCGATTGATGAGCTTCAACAAGCGATTACACTGAAGGGTTACGCAGTGAAGGGAGTGAATAGCAGCTATCTTGGGCGAAATGTCCAATCCTTCTTGGATTCGTTTCTTGAAAACCTTTAGTAGAAGCTTGAGGATGTAGGTATATCATGGGGAAACGCAGACAGAAATGGCACGCTCTCCATCGAGGAAAACAATAAAATAGATACACTTTGATAGCATCCCTGCTAGAGTGGTATTCTTTCCTACTCGTCATGTTGCCTCAAAAACTCGTTATTTGACGGATTGT